GTTTAAATAGCTACATGATATTTTACCGAATTTGAATCCATGCATGAATTAACTGAATCTAAATTTAGCTAAAGTGTCAACAATCTCATTGTGAAAATGTACTTTATTTTAAATTAGTGACTTTTTGAATTAGCGAAATTACAGATTAGCTAAATTAGCTAAAATAACACGCTAGCTAAAAAGACATGCTATACAGTAATTTACATTTAATTGCTGTATGACAACTCACTTAATTACACAAGAACAACAAACACAGCAAATAATAAATTAATATTTAATCAATGAATATCTTCATTACAGATTTTTTAATTTGTTTTTTATTTTTTATAAAGCTATTTTGAGCTCTCATATTTAATATGAGTAATCATACCTTGTTCTGTCTACATACCTGCCTGATTTTTTTTTTTTTGCATTCAGGACAAGTTTTTGTTACATTCTTCACCAAGACATTATGCTTTTTTCTATACAGAATTTTTAGTTTCAAGAATCTGTTATGTATTTGTTATTTAATTAAGGTGTATTAATAATTTGTTTAATCTATACTTATTTCTCAGATTCAAATTCTAAATAAATTACAGCAAATCAAATAAAAGCTTTCTTTGAATTGATCGTTAATTAGTGACAGTTGACAATGTATTTAGTATTTGTACATATTGTTTTACTTTAATGGAATATATTCTGGTGTAAAACATCTATCATCGATTTGCTATTCACCTAATGATATACTGTACTGATTAACACAGAATAGTACTACTTGACTAACTTCTATTTTTGATGTAAAATTGATTCTGAAAATTCCTTGCTTCCTTAATTCATTTTAACCAATAAGCTTGTTAGCCTATGTGAATACACTTAAAAATGGCTTGGTGAATTGTTATGTAAATATGTAGTGGGCACAGAATTCTGTGTTATCACTGGTTGGCTGTCTCCATGACTTAAGTACATTACCATAGGAACTTGCATGTGCAGACTGACCTGTAGGCAAGATCAGATGCAATGCTTCTGACCAATTCACTTCTTCGTAGATTTTATTTAATTAAAGTCTCAAAATCTTAGGCATCATCTAGTCCATAATCTTGTTGGAATATCAACAAATTATTGTCTTCATATTTCATGAAAAATAATGATTGCACTAATTTTTAGCTCCGCTGTCGACTTTGTCGAGCGGAGCCTATCATATGAGTGATTGTCCGTCGTCGTCGTCCGTCGTCCGTGTCAATGTTTTACTTTTTCGACTTCTTCTTGAAAACTACAAGCCTGAATGCTTTGATACTTGGTGTATATGTACCTTGGGTGGACCTCTCTTAGGTTTGTTCATTTCATGTTGATATCTTCAATTCTCTAATTTTGGTGAATATTTTTGTAATTTTT